TATCTTTTTATGATATATTGAATTTACATCCCTTTTTAAGTATAATACTAAAACAACTACTCACCAAAGTGTCGGTGCCTAGCGGGAGATTTTTACCTCATTGCTTGCAGCTTGTTAAACATCCTCCACTAGCCACCACCACTTCATTGAATACTTGTTAATCATTAACTCAATTGCTCAAACCAAGCTATCTTGTCATACACCCCCCCCTTCCCACTAAGCACTACCACAGCTTCTTTAGAAACTTACTCCCCTTTATCCACAATATAAGAGTATTTAGGAATTTTGGTGATTGTCCATCTACAAGTCCAAAATAGTAATGAAGTGTGAAAATATTGCTTACCTTATCTCCATCTGTTATTTACTGTACAGTCTTAATCGTGTTTCACATTTTTAAGCATTGCTTTGATTGTGACGTGTTGGATTAATATGGTAGCTAACTGAACACCCTCTTATTTTAAATGAAATAAACTGCTTTCAAGTTGGTAAAAGACAAGTCATTGATGATACAGAATTTAACTGTTTGTGTTATTATTTATAGAGATATGCTTTTGGTACCCTTGAAGTGTGCAACTGAAAACTGGGGAGGTTCCCTCAGATACAGGGGGAGTAAAACTTAATATTTGATATTGAATGGAATACTATAACTTTGTGTACTTTAAAACTCTTTAAACCCTGATAACTCGAACCTTCAGTAACTCGAATTGCCCACTACATCAAAGCAAAACTGATTTCCCTTGGATTTACAACATATATTTACTGTAATCTTAACCACTATACCCGTAACTTGAAACCCTGATAACTCAAAAGCCTACCAGCTCAAAGCGATTTTTACTTCCCTTCAGGTACTTTTCTTTGTAATTTTACCCTTGATAGCTCAAAGTTGATTTTCGCTTTTGTGGACTAATGAGTCAACATTTTGCACTGGAAGACTACATTTAATCTTATTTTTATTTTATTGACAAATTGACCTTGGTAAATATCACATGTTTGTATGTCAGTAAACAAACAGTTTTGACAGTTTTTCGTGGTGAAAAGAAATAATGGCATGTAATCTGGAATTGATCTGTAGTTTGAATAGATTTTTTAACAGATGGTGTAATGAGATTTAGCTCTAAACATTCTGAAGAGCAGCTACTTTAAATTTCATGCTTTTGTTTTGTTTTGTTGTTTTTATGCTCTTATATCACTAGAAATCCCACAATAAAGCATGTAAAAGCATCTCTTTAATCAAGTGTTTCTAGTCTTTTTGTTCAAAACCCCTATAACTCAAAACCTTGGCTGATAACTCGAAGTAAATTTCATTCGCCCTGGCAATTTGAGTTACCAAGGTTCAACCATTCTTTAAAAGGAAAACAAGTTATTGATGTCAACTGATTTTTATCAAAATAATACACTCATTTGCTAATCCCAAAGAATCTGAAAAAGAAATAAGTTTTTGATTTTTTAAATCTGTATTTGTCTTTTTTTATTCTTCTATGTCCTGTTTTTATTTCATTTTTTAGTACTTAATGTCAACTATGAACTAGCTATCAGCAAAAAAGTGATAAACATTTCTTCTCTTCAAGGGGAAATCACTTACCAGCATTAATATTTCTTTTACATTATTATAAACTTGTGTCTTAGTATCATTAATGAATACTTCTTTTTTTACAGCCTTTGTCCGTAGTGACAGGCCTGCAAAGTTCCCTAATCTTAGGATAAACGTGAGTTGAATAGCTCTTTACCAGTAATTGTGTAGAAAGCAAACGTAGAAAGTATATGTTAGGTTATAAAGAGAGAATAAACTGTTACAGTATCCATTAATGTTCATTTATATTCAAGGCAAGTGTCCAATTCTGTAGCTCTTTTTAAAATATTCTAACTTCCAGAAGTGATTAACATCCAATTAATTTTCTCCCTCTAATATTTATACATTATCCAGTGAACAAGTAATGAGAATACCTAACCTTTTCAAGTAAAAATTGTCTTTCTTGATCGAAAACCAAATTCTCATAACTAGTTTACAAGGAAATCAGATCTTGGGAGCTTAATAGTTGACTTAATGTACATGTGAACATATTGTCTTATCTTTATTAAAATTAATTCACTAGTCTAGAGAAATTTCTATGGTTTTGATATCAAATTTTTTCACCTGTGCCTTTTAGTTTGTGCGAGGGGCCGATCCCGTTCTAAAACTTCATGATGAGAGTAATGAGGTGAAAGAAGTTCTAAGGTGTGTAAATGATCCGTGTGATCAATTCGAAATTAGCTACAGTAATTTTACTTTCAACCATGGATAGAATAGGGCTGTTGACTTAAGTAGGTTGTAGAATTACTTAAGCATTATAGAAAAGTCACTAAGTATATTTCATACAAAGGTCCTAACCCTTTCATCTCCAGTGGTGATCAAGACATCATTTCTTCTCACAATATCAATACAGTATTGAGCATATAGGGAAGTATTGATTTAGGGATTCATATTTGAATCAACACCAAAGTTTTGGAACCAACTAGACTACAAGCAGGCCCCCCCCTCCCCCCTTTTTGGAGAAGTCTGTTGTGCCTGTAAAAAAAAAAAGAATCAATAAAAAAAATTGATGGTAGCGGGCTGCAGGGATCTCAGATTGGAGTAGGGACCTTAAGCAGTCAGGACGGCAAAGCCAAGGAAGACTTTGATTAAAAAATGAATTTCTACTCTTAGTCAGAATTTCAAAAATGGCTGCATGAGCTTACTGTCTCATACGGCACCACAGCTCAACTTCAGCATGACGTATAGAAGTAGCGTTGAGTTCCAAATGGAAATTAAATTAATTAGCTGTCGTGGTTTCGGTTCGCAGACAACACAAATTTTGGCGATTTCATGTTGTTGTTTTGCATAGGACGGCTAAGTAATGTACAAAGTTTTAAAACACACGTGCTGAGCTATTGTTCTGCCAATTAGATCTCTTGTTTTTCCATGTCCTCGTTGCTGTTGCCGTTGTGGTTGCTTAAGGCCCCTAGTGACATTAATGTGCTGTAGGAGATTTGTGAGTGAGGTGCTAAAAAAAATAAGGACTATGGACAAAGCCCAAAAGTTTGAATTCTATTGCAGGCACAACACAAAAATATGATTGATCGGCAGGAAATTTGTCAACAAGCACCACCCATATGTGTCAACATAGGTGTTTTGTTTCACAAAATCTTGAATGTGCGCATATATTTAATTTCACCACAAGCACACTCAAGGCCTTGAGCGGCCTGCCCTTCCTAATTATCCGATTGCCTGATAATTATGATAACAAATCTTATTGGTTATGCGCAATTGAGATTAAATTCTGATGCTTGTAAACCACTCAGCTGTGCAAGGTCAAACTCTTGGGCTTGGTCCATAGCTCCTACTTTTCGAGCATCTCACTCATGGAGCTCCTACAGCACATTATTGTCACTCCAAGAGCACTAATTTCAATTTTTTTTTTCACTGATTTTATTTTACTTACACGACAGACTTCAGATTCCAATATCTCTTGCATTTTTTAGAGATGAAAGGTGCAACTTTCTAGCTTTGTGAAAAAAAAAATTACCTAGCTTTGAACAATAGATAACCATGTCATTTTGATGATTCAAATTTAGTCAGACTAAAAGTTGTCTTGATTCCTTTTTTTCAGCATTGAAAAGTGGAACACTGACAGTGTGGAAGAATTTCTGAATGAGAGACTTGCAAAATAAAATTATTTAGTTATTATCAAAATATATAATTAGAAGAAACTTTGCACATTATAATGAAAACTTCATGTAAAACCATGATGGTGTGTGAAGTTGGAGGACATTTTGTGCCAAGGACTTCTGTACTTGTTTAAAGTTGTTGGATTTTAAAAAAAAAGTAGAGAAAACTATAAAACCAGGAAATGTGTATTGTTTCAGAAGTGTGCAAACAGCAGCAGCTGGTGTCTAAATACATGGCATTGAAGTGCCATGGAAATCTTTACATTAGGGAATAAAAGTATTAAGGAAAGTGGTTCCAGAAATGTTGATTAGCCTTGCTTTAAATTGTTGTTAAAATGGTTTCTGTGCTTTTCAATAGCATGCAAACTTTTAAGCTTGGGGCTACATCAGTAACAATTTTTTTTAAAACAACCTTCAATTAAATTGTGGACTTTGCAGCAAACAGATACAATATTTAAAAAGGCTAAAAAAGTGGTGAAAGAATTTAGATCCATTTAGTTATTTTGTCTTTCAATGACTGTTACAGTATTTATAGATGACAGTATGAATTTCAAAGGAAACTGAAAGATGAGTGTAGTCCTTAGTCTCAGAGTTTACATGTTCTTGAAAGGCACTGTAATCTTAAAAGATGAACTTGTGCAAGAAAGATGACTAGTAAGCAACCACTGGCATGCTAAAATCCACATTCCTCTTACAACATAGAAAAGTGGGAATGTGGTGAAAGGTAACAACAAATTTTCACATAATTACATCTTTTACTGAAATAGTGACTGAATTTATTCTCTGTTTTCATGATGACTTTACAGTAAACTAGGTACAAGTTTGTAAGGTTGGAGGATTTGAACAGAAGGATTTTAATGTTGCATGCATCTTTCCTCAATAGTCTGTTAGATATCTTGTTCGGGCAACTCACTTGCTGACTCTTCTTTTAAATGCTATGTTCTAATAAAAACACTGTTTCTTGATGACTCCTGTTTTGCAGACTGTTTAGGGATTGGTAAATATCAAAATTCCTCCCATCTAAAGCTATGACAAAACTTGCAGCTCCAAACAGCACATCTGTAGAACTTTTTTTGCCAAACTTATTTATGAATGATGACATTTTTCAAGTACACCCAACAGGATGGTAATATTAAATAGTAAAAGAAATTATGATGCATTTCACTCTTTGTATTATACTCACATTTAGTCAGTAGTGATTTCACTATTGGACATAAACAAGTAAATAAAAAAAAGATTTATTCACACTCGCCTAAAACAGACTAGTATCTTAAACAAGTCCTTACATGTTAATACGTTAAAAAACGTTCTGGCAACTGTGCAAGGGTTTTTTTCCACTCTTATTTAAATAGTCTCACATTTCCTTAACAAGTCTTCAAATAAAATTTTTTCAGCAATCACTCCAGCTCTTCAACACTTTGTCCTCAAGACTCACAGCCTCTAGGGCAATGAGTCAATAAATATTAAATGTAGTAAACTAGGGGGCTTATTTCTCCATCCACCTTCAAGATAGCATGATTGAGCTAAAGCAAGCTAAACAAACCACACAACTAATTGCTTCTTGAAACTTGCAAAATTCAACTGCTCCCTTAAAAGCTTATTTTTTTTATAACCCTTTCACTCACAAGATTTTATCAGTAATTCTCCTTACTTTCTGCCATACAATTTTTATGATGTTACTTTGGAGAACTTCTGTCTTGATCATTCATGCGATTTAAGAGTTAAGCACAGAAATAAACAAGACATTGCACATGAAAATTAAATTTAAAATGTGCATTTCAAAATTTGTCAACTAAAAGCCATGTTCATAATTCTAAATAACTCTTATTATCTCTCATTTTAAAACACACAACTTGAAAAATCAGAAAGACTCACAACTTGAAAAATCAGAAGCACTCATACTGCAATAAATTATCTTTGATTGGTGAGAAAATTTTAAGAGGGCAACTAATGGAAAACTACCGTCAAATAACTAAAAACCTTAAATGTAACTAACAATGAAATCACGAATTTCTGTTGGAAGGTTCCCTGACAAATAAATTATAATTATATTCCTTTATTAATTACTAAACTCTAGAGGCTGTTTTTGAACAAAACCTCCATTTTGGTAACCGGAAATCGCCGAGGTTTAATAATGGGAATCTCCTGTGACATTCTACACCGCTCCAAGGATCTTACCACAAAAGGTACAAATCAAGAACTAAAGCTCACATTTAAAGTTATGCTGAGCTTGTTTGTCTTCAATTCACATTTGAATATAAAGTCCCAGGCCCATTGTTCAAAAGCTAATTAGTGCTAACCCAGGGTTAAGTTCAAATCTGGGTTTCTTTATTCCTTAGCCTCTTTCTGATAACTTCCTCTGTTCTCTTAAAAGCATCCCTGACTTATCTTAACACAGGTTTGAACAAGTCAGCCCAGTTTTCACATTTCTACAATATTTTCTGGGCTAAATGTAAAATCTCTGTTAAGTTCAGTTACTGAGCCAATTCTAAAGTGTCTGAAAACAAGTCACTTCACCCACATCAAACAAAAATTATTGTCAGGAGCATTCACCAAATTGCCTATGAGGGTGTACTAGAGGCATGATGATAAAAAAGGTCTAAAAAAGTAGCGCTGTTAATTGGAGAGTACATATGTGCATCGCTCATGGTTTGTACTTTTGTGGAAGTCATCTACCTAACTCGGTTGATCATCTCTAAACTACAAAATCTTATAAAATCCACTTCTAATAAATCAATGAAGTAATATCAAACTAATATCTATCCAAAATATATCCAAGAAGCTCAAATACAAATACTGTGACAAACTAAATCAATATCCTTTCAGAGGTAAAATTGAAGTTCAATTCTTTAGCCTTGTAATGTAAATGTAACCAAATTAACATAGTTGCCACAGTTTCTGAGTGAAGTGGTCTCTCAATCAGAATTAATAAAACAGTTCCATTTGTCATTTTTCACATCATAGCATTCAATGCTCTTCAGGAATGAAGTGCCACCAAAACCACCAACTGTGTAGATGTGGTCTTTAATGACCACAGTTCCAACATTATGGCGGGGAATGTTCAAACTAGCCACTGTTTTCCACTCATTTGTGGAGGCGTCATAGCACTCGACACTGTTGAGGAAATTGGTGCCATCAGACCCACCAATCACATACAATTTACCATGAAGTGCTGCTGCACCAGCCCCTCGACGGGCAGTCTTCATGGGTGGAACCAAATACCAACGATCCTCTTCAGGGTCATAGCACTCCACAGAATTGAAACAACTCCATCCATTATACCCCCCAATTGCATACAGCTTCCCATTCAAGGCTTCCACACAGAGGTTGTTTCTCTCCGTGTTCATTGGGGCCACTCTTGTCCACTCTCCTTTCTCTGGACAATAAACTTCAACACTTTTCAGGTTTCTGGGACCCTGGTAGCCCCCAGCTGCATAAATGCGTCCATCAATGACTCCTGTTCCAAAACTACATCGGCTTTGTATCATGGGTGGTCCAAAGCTCCAAATGTTGGAGGTTTCATCATAAGTTTCCATGGTGTTGAGTTCAGTGTGTCCATTAGAGCCTCCAATAGCAAATATCTTTCCGTTCACCACTGCTGACTCCAGCCGTCCCCTATGTAAGTTCATGCTGGTGACAGGCATCCACTCATTTGTCTCACAATCATACTGTTCCACAGTGTTTAGACAGTCGCCCCTATCATAACCACCAATGGCATACAGCTTTCCATTAAGTTCCACTGCACCCACACTACAGCGACCTGATACACACAAAAAAAGAAAACATTTACACACCTGTCATTGATCTTCTTTCCATTTTCTTTTCATTCCAATTAGCTACCAATGCAGCATAACAGCTTCTCAAAAACTAACTTCTCTGTTTTATCTTCATCTACTTTACATATTTCATTAAATAATTTAAGAGGGTACAAACCAACACTTAGATCCTGGTTTTGAATTGTTCCTGATATCAAATAAGTTTTGTTGTTTGTAACTAGATTTTCCTCAACAGGGCCATAGTGTATATTTGTCTTTCATTTTAAGTACTACTGGTAGCTGAGCCAATCTGAAAGCTTTATTCCTGTAAATTCAAAAATTTAAAAAGAGTTTCATGAGTCCTAAACAGATCTTACAACAGATTATGTTACTGTTCATGAAAGCCAGTCACAATTATTTCGTGTGGTCACTGATTAAAAAGCAGAAAATACCTGAGTTTTGTTTAAAAAAAAAACAAAAATACAAAAAAAACAAAACACACACACAAAAAGAAATGTTTGGAAATGAATGGAGCAAATTTCTGTGCTCTTAGTTCAAATTCTTAATCATTCACCATCATTACCTTGATCAAATGATTAATTCTCCCTTCAACTACTCAATATATCCTTGTTAATTGGACAAGAGAATTTACGTTGTTACACACCTCTACTCATTGGGGCTATGAGCACCCATTCTTCTCCGGAGGAAGAGGAGTCACCAGAGTCTGACATGTTGGCACATGTTGGAGCTTGACTATGAATGGATAAGGCTACCAGCATCTCTCCCACCCGAGCAACACCCACACAGCCACTGTCACTGGTTTGAACAGCACCAATCACCTTGAAATCCTGAATTATATGGGCAATTCTTTTTCTCTTGTTGTTTTCTATCAAAACAGTTAATTCCTCTTCGTCTTCACTGGTGCTTGCCTCAGCTTTAGCAAGCTGTTCAACTGAGGTGTACCGGATGTATTCACGCTGAGCTTCTGTGATAATGAGCTTGGATTTTTCATCTTCAGAATCAAGATCTTCCATGGTGCACTCTTTCAATTCATCATTAGCAGTTAGGAACATTATGTGGGTTTTCTCCAGTAGTTCTCTCAAGCTGAAATTTCCTTGCTGCCAAATAGAAACAATAATGGCAATTAATCAATGAATGATTTTATTGTTTTAGCAAGCAAATCAGGTGTTGGTTAGTGTGTTATCACATGCCAATCAGTTTGGGGGGGGGGGGAAGAGGGTTAACCCTTCGCTCCCTAACATCAGTAAGCATATTCTCCTTATTGCTCTCTATACAGACAAGCAGGGCTCGACACTAACGGTAGCCCACTAGCCACAGACTAGTAGAAATTCAGTTTTAGCTAGTGGTTTTCAATTTCCACTTGCCAGTTTGGCTAGTAAACAGACTGAAATTGTCGTAACATCTTAAAGCATCCAAGATGTCAGTAGCCACTTGTGTAATATTCCTAGAAGCCACTAAGGTCAATAACTCGAACAACACACCGTCACCCTTCGAACTCCTGCTCTTTTTCACATACACGCACACTCTCTCGGTCACCTGACCACTGTTTATAGCCCTGGATGTCCACAGGACACCACAACTTGGCTAGTAAGTTGAAAAGTTAGTGTCAAGCCCTGGACAAGGAGAATTTGTTTAACAATCAAAAGCTCCTTTACTTAGTGATCATTTCCTCAAATCTCATGACCTTACTGTGTGACTCAAGGACAATAATACAAGGAGAAATTAGATGTTAAGGGTTTAAAGGGTTGACAATGTACCCTGTTAGACACCAAATGGTAAAATATCCCAACTATTATAACAAAATAGCATTTAACAACCAAAACAAAAATGTTTACTTTACAGAATAATTTCAATATATCAACAAAGTTGAAATGGTAAATTGGGCACCGTTACGATTATAAAAGCTGACGTTTCAAGCGTTAGCCCTTCGTCGGAGCGAATAGGGGAATGGTGGGTTGTGTGCTTTTAAAGGCAGAAAAAGGAGCTATGTGATTGGTGGGAACGTGGCAACGAGAAAAACACGAATAAATTAGTGCAATGAAAAGCGTTCGTTGATTCCTGTGGGATTTAGACTGCCCGTTTGAAAGATGAGCTTTTGTTCAAGAGTTTTCCTCCTTTCAGTTCTACCTAAGTGTAAGGAAAGACCACAGATTGCCATGTGTTGCTTAGAATGGCTAGATAAATTAAAATGTTTAGTGACTGGTTTAGATGTGTCCTTGTCATTCCTTTCCACGTCGCGAAGGTGTTCTCAGAATCGTTTACCTAGTCTTCTGCCTATTTCGCCAATTTACATCGGCGAAACAGGCACACACGACCCACAATTCCCCTATTCACTCTGACGAAGGGCTAACGCTCGAAACGTCAGCTTTTATAATCGTAATGGTGGCCAATTTACCATTTCAACTTTGTTGATATACTCAAATTATTTCGTTACCCCCATCGAAGCAGTCCCAAACAATTTCTTTAGAAACTATCAACCTTTATTCATTTACTTTACAGAGACTGAAACAAAATGCTTAATAAAACAGCCAAAATGAAACAAAAATAAACCTTAAGGTCTAGTCTAACACCCCAAGTTATTATCACAACCGGTTTCAAATTCATCTTTGTCTACTCTGTGGTCAATGTATGTAAAAAGAGTAATAACTACGAACAATAAAAGCAGACTTCAGTACTTTAAAAGAAAATTAAATATTGTGAGATCACAAAGCAAGGAGGAGTCATGATTTTGTCTTTCATGATGATCCAATTTTGCAATTTGACAAAATCATTAGTACAGAGAAAAATCGCACAATGAGTAACAAAAATGTTGATCTCAAAATAGCCTGGATTAACACTAATCTCTCTTTATGGCCCATCAACAGGTGGAAAAGTGATGATTGACATAAGAAAAAAATTAACATTTTCCTCTGATCAATTGATACAAGTGGGCAGTAAGAGGGTGCCAGTTTTAACTATAATTTTTCTGTTGGTCATTTCAAACTGCACCAAAAAAATAACTTGTTTGACATGAGAAAAAAATTTACATTTTCCTCTGACAAGTTAAATGAAAAGGGCTGTGTAAGAAGATGTCAGTTTGAACTAAAATTTTTTTGTTGGTCATTTGCAACTGCACCAAAAAATAACTTCAACAAAAAACTTAATTTCTAGAAGAAAGCTGAAAGAGAATTAATCACACATACTCTGATACCAGAAAATTTCACTGCCTCCTAGACAAGAGCTATTCTAAATCAAGTAAAGAAGATTCCATGAATAATCTAATAACTCTTAAGACTTTTTAAAGTAAGTTATTGAATAATATTATTGTTGAGTTCAAAGTAAATGAAATGTCTTGCAATCTAAAGCCACAAAAACAAACTTTTGTTACATATGCAGGTTTAACAAACTCTATGAAAAAATCTAGGTGCTGCTTCTTTCAAATCAGACCAAGTCTAATGGAAGCCATGATGGTAGGTGATATGCAAATTGTGAAAGATAAAACTTTTGACAGATGTAAATCATTATGATAATGTTTTTCTCTTACAAGGGCCCTAGCATATCACATCCAACCAAAATCCTAAAAAAAAAAAACACTTACAAGAAATCTGGTTGGATAACAATCTATAGATGGATAACAATCAGGATATTTGACTATTTTGAGGTTTTTCATTTTATTTTTCTTTATCAAGTTCTTCATCATTATTCTCTATTTTTTTTTTTGGCTCATATCCTTTCTTTCCTGCGTACTAATTCCCTAAGAAAGATCGTCAGTAATTTGCATTCAGTCCAGGGTCTGGAAAAACTAATTCCCCAACAAAGATCACCACTGATTCACATTCAGTCCAGCGTCCGGAAAAACTAAATTCTCCAATAAAGATTTTCAGTTAATTCTGTCCAGAGTCTGGTAAATCAATTCCCCAACAAAGATTGTCAGTAATTTATATTCAGTACAGAGTCTGGAAAAACTAGTTCTCCAACAAAGATCAATAGTAACTTAAATTGAGTCCTGTGTCTGGATATGGCCAGACCCATATCCAAAAATTGGCAAAAAAAATTTGGAATAAAGAAAATTTTCAAAAGAAAAAAATTATCTGGAGCAAAATTTGCTATCGTAGATTGACTTAGAAGGATTTTCATGGGGTTAAGGAAAATTCAATTCCCAAGATATTTTTCTTGATGAGTTCCGTTACAAAAGTTACATCTGCTAACTTTGCGGTGGAGAAATAGAATAAAATTTATAGTACGGTTGCCGTTTAGGGCACGAAGGTACTAAAGAAATCCAGGGAAAAGGCAATTTTAACAAAGAACAGATTTGAAAAGGTCACTTTGAGATTTAGGGACCACGCACGTTTCTCGAACCAATTAGTGACGGTATTGGATTTCAAGACTTAGCGCTCAATCTATCTTCCCGCGAAACAAAAATTGGCGCGTAAAGAGCAAAAAGCGTTAAAACTCTGGTAAGTTATGCTTTTCTAGTGAAAGTAAAGGGACTTTTAACGCTTTTAAATGTTCTGAATGTTCGCTTTTTTCAAATTAAACTACTAGGTAAATTTCAATTTGTCAATAACCGTCCACAACAAGGAATGGACGTTGATGTCAAATGCCAGCAGGTGAAGGAAGTGTTCACAAGCAAATAAAGAAATGCCAACAATATTTATTTCTCACCTCTAGCTGCTTCTGTGCCCACGTTAAGGCCATTTGGCAAAGATTTTCTGCACCGATATTCTCTTCCTGTCTGTTATTTGTAGTTGCAAGTTCGATCTGCAGCCGAGGTAACTGGAAAAAGTCCTTCTTGTGGAAGATGTCCTCAACGTTATGCGCTATAAATTCGTCGATTGCTGTCTTCAGATTCGGGCAGTCGTTTCTCTCCGCGAACGATCTCAAAGAAATCCAATCCAGTGGAACAATCTTCTCGAGAATGAACTTCTCGCACGAGTCCTGGACTTGTTTCATGCCTAGAGTTTTGGCGGCTTGGAATAAGTTCAGAACGCCGTCTGAAGCGACAAGGAGCTTGCCTGTGTAGACAAATTCCACCAAAACTTCCACAGCATTTGGATCTAAGCCTTCCAAATCGACTGTAAACTCGGGATCACCTTTCTTGACTTGTCCTTCGAAGATTTTAGGTATTGCTGCAACCAAAATAGATCGATGGGCCCTAATCTCTCGTTCGCCAACCTTCAACACTGCATCACAAAAGCGCGTGCTGCTCCGTTGTTCGTTGAGAGCATCGAAGACTGTTCGAAGATGGCTATCGTTTTCGAACGAAAACTTTCTATCAACCGTCATGTTCCGATTCTTCTCCTTTTCATCTGTGTCCTTTGAAATAAAAATTAGACTTTTAACGTATTTTCGCTCGGCAAATGAAAGGACAATTACTAATAACAAACAAACAGGGTTTCGCAATTTAGCTGTGGTACAGTTGAGCATTAAAATAGTCGTGAAAACGTCTGGAATCAATTCGTTTCGTGATAAAAGTTCCCGGTCTGGAACAATTGGAACCCTAATTCTGTAAAATCCATGCGATAAACAAATACAGTTAGGCCCACGCTTTTACCTAAAATATGATAGAGGTTTATTAAAATTTTCGGGAAAGCGCGCGTAGTTTGCAAACAGGAAACGAAACTGAAAAACGACGGAAAAGCAGACTGATTATGGTTACTCAAACGTCCTTTTCATTTATTCTTTAAGTTTTACACTGGGAAAGGAAAGCAAATGTGAACGATCGTGTCCGACAGCGCTTGTTAAATAAGTCTCAGAAAGAACAGAGCACAACTACAAAAGCAACGATATAGTACTTCTGAAAGAATACATTAAAAATTGTTATTGTATATCACCAACGAGTAATCGAAGTGACAACCGTGTTCGTTCGAGTATAGAGTTTTTCGAGGCTTCTGCCATACGGAAGTTTATCCTTACTGGTCGAATAGAAAGATCAAATAAAAAAAAAAAAACAGAATTAGAGAACTTGACAAATTTAGGAAACCTACCTTCGTCGTCTGGGCTAATTTCATGTCGATATCTGCGCGAAGCACTTCTCCTCAACAAGACAGCTTGCAGTTCGAAAAATGATTTCCAATTGCAAAAACCTCTTAGAAACGCAGATCTCTTCATGTGAGAAATGCTCAGCACCCACACTTACCGTCCTAGAGCATTCACAGACTGAAGGTACTACACAGTGTAAAATTTGTCGATGCATTTCACGTGGTGCCACCTCAAAGCCCGAAGAACCTGGTAACTCGTCACTGCTTTTCATTGGTTTACAGAGACAATAGGTTTTATCGCGAATTGTCAATTTCACAACTCTTGACATGAACGAAACGAAAATAACCTACCTCACGTACTCAAGCAAGGTTGCTAACAACAATTTTTCCGAACGGCTCTGTTGAGGAAAAAAAAGCATTTTTATATCAAAAGATCAAAGTTTTGCACGATCATTGTCAGTGATAAGCGACAGTGAAAAAAGCAAGCGAGATCTTATACATGATTTTCTCGAAATTGTATTGACATGAAGTGACGACACTCAACGAGTGAATACAGTGAGTGAAAACGATCACGTTTTGTGTAAAATGCGTTGAAAGCCCTGTAGAATGTTCAAGAGAGCACGCATGTACCCTTCCTGTTTTATTTTTAGAATATTCTTACGACATCCCTGGAGTATGGCTGAACGAGTCAACAAGTTCGGTACGGATTGATGGAGAGAACTAAAGCACTATAAAATTTGCCGGATCAGACAACGTTTTGTTTGTGTGTGGCGTTCGTTCTGGATGGAACTTTAAGGGAAAATTTAAACTGTTGCATCTGGTATGCAATCAAAATAACGAAATTCAACAGTTTAGATTGAAAAAATGACGTCATCTATTGATTAAAAAAAGGTTTTGTAATTTAAACTCAAGTCTGACGAAGAGGAGATGATGACAAAAAATGGTTGAGGAAGCCGAAATAAAAACGTCTCCTACTGAAACTGAAGGCGGTGGCCAAAACAATGGCCTACCAGCTCTGAAGTTTTGTCAAAGGTTCAAACACCATAAGAGAGCTTTTTATTTCTTCTAAAACGTACTTTTTTTCTGAACTGAGATCCTAAATATAAAGGGCATGAAACTGTTATTGTTTATTATAATAATACCTCATCATTGATATAATCAATTTTTTCTTAGCTTGCACTAATAAAGGACTGATTAGACGATATCACAGTTAAAGTGATATATCAAATCATGTGATACTTTTTAAACTGTAGCTGAAGATGACTGAATGGAAACAGAGCACGATTTTGTACCGTCCAAAATTTGTGAACAAACCTAAACAACTAGTCCCAATGACAAATGAACTCGCTGAAAGTAATTTAACATATGCGAAATACCGAACATGAAAGCTTACGGGACCAGAAAAACAAGGAAACAAAATAGAAAAGAACAGAGATATTCACGTATGATTCTTAGCGCACTCTTAGCATAAACTCGAAAGAGGACGATAATATTACCGTTTCCTTTCATTTAGATGCCACACTAGTAACTGGTAACAATTCGGCTCAATTGGTTAGAGCGCCGGATTGTGTTGTGCGGGAGATCGAGGGTTCGAGCCCCGGCCGGACCAATACTCATGGTCTTAAAATAACTGCGGAGAATTTGCTACCTTTCCATAATATCAAGAAATGGATAGATATTCTAGTCTTCTCGGATAAGGGCGAATAAAGCCGTAGGTCTTGTCTCCTGCAGGGTTAGGGGTAGGAGACGTTAATTTCCCACGCACGAGATTACTGTGTGGTGGATGTCCTCCCCTGTGGTGGGATGGGTGGGTTTACTGGGCCCGCAGTAATTGGCGCACGGCTGTTGCGGTGTCCCTGCCAGTCGGCGAATCTAATAAATTAAATTAAAATGGAATTTACGTTCGATCTCGGAGGCTAGGCAAAAAAAAACTGACTCACAAGGATGCTACTGCAGAACATTCAGCCTTGTCGATCTTGAATACTACATTACAAAATGTAACATGTACCCCATGGGATCTGGCTTTGTGCTAAATGATGTCAAAGGTGTTTTACGAGGGCAATGGAAGCAAGTAATATTCTTGTCTGCAGATTTGAACAAACTTAACAATTGGACAAAGAAGTGAAAAAATCTCTACCACTGAAATGAGAAAATATAAACGTGCATCGCACAAAAACAAAATTTGAGTCTTCTTTGCATTGAAGTAAAAATGTTGACATAAATAAAGAAAATCTGCAAAGATTAAGAAACTCACTAGAAGCAGTAATTAGGACAAAAAAAGGCTCGAGTTTACGTCAAGAAAAAGCAGACAAAATAGTAACACTAAGGTGGGAATGTGATCACAGTTGAGCTTTACATATCCGTATGTATACGATTTTGGACGTTCCATCCAATTCCGCAAAGGTCTCTCTCCGATTTCCGAAATTTCCGTCCAAATCCTGACGCTTCAACGCAATTTCGGACGCCACCGTCCAATTTCAAACACTTTCGTTCGATTTCGAAAAGCACCCTCTCTCCTATCGAAGGTCACCTCCTAGCCCCGGGCGCTAAACTGACGATATACGGTATGCGCATCAGTAGTTATGTTGTCATCACAGACGTTACGATCTTTCTAAGTCTAACATTAGTTACCGTTACGTTCCATATAACGAAGGAAAAAGGGAAATAGGAGACATTTTGATGAACGTAAAAGACGTGATTAGCTAGGAACTGTCCTCTGTTCTATCATGGTAGCTAGAACTGACCCACTTGTAAAATTGCAGATACCTTTATCCTTTTTGCGCTAAGAGATCTGAAAAACAATCCGCATAACTCAGACTCAGTAAAGTAGTGCGGAGTTCGTGTGGAATTAGGCCCATGTCCGCGCGCGATGCGTGACCCACGCGAGTGTCATGTTCTCTGAGTCTTCATGTTCAAGCACAGGCGGTCCAAGCTCTCTTTGAGAACCACACAAGGAACACAATTTGCATATTGATTTATAAG